TTGAGAAGCTGATTGCAGACGCATCGAGTGTTCAGTATTGCTTCATTTGTGGTGGAATGCATGACATTGATGAATGTACCACACCAGATGACGAGAACATGAAGGACACCCTATGGCGCATGAGATTGATCATGGATCAGAAGTCCAAATCCCCATCATCATCGGAAAGATCCAAAGCTGCGACCAGAGGCAGAAAAGACAAGCTCCCAAAGAACGTCATGCCACGAGGAAAGCGTTGGGGAAGAACCAGATTCACTGAGAAAGAAGAAGTGACCAAGTGCTTCTACAGTCAGTCAGCCTTTATGTACGACATTGGTGATCGTGAAGAAGGAGGACAATACTTAGTGAATGGTGTCGAAGTCAACCCAATTAGCCGAGGTGTGAAGAATCGTCATGAGCTTGATATGCTGATTGAGCGTGCGGCTGAGAAATCCCCGCCTGTTTTGCCGACCATTGAGGAGCTGAACGCTTGGAACCCCATTGACCATGATGAATATGTGAAATGGCTTACTGAAGAAAGAAAACAACGTGGAGACAACTGGAACTTCAAGTACATCCAACCATTCACACATGGCCACAACATTGGTACACTTCAACTTGCTCGCATCAATGGAGAAGAATATCTTGGATTTGGATGGAGTAAGGTGTATCGATATGGCGAGAATGAGTGGATGGGCAACAAGTGGGAAAATCCGCAATGGATAGTCGAATTGTCGAAAAGATTCAATGCAGCACTACGCCACTCCGTGGGTTGCGTCAAAGACAATCGGAATCACCGTGGACTACCATGCGATGAGGCAGGTTGGGTCAATGTTGAGTCGGTCTTGAAGTACGACGCCATTTGGAGAGACCAACATACATTGGCCGGAACGACCCACGTCAACTACCCGATACTTGTTGAGAGGTGGAACAACTTCCAGAGAGTGATCTTCACTGAGTACAAGCAAACGAAAAGAATCCGAGCTCAAGTGCTAGGACTCAAGGTCACAAAAGGTGAGTTGGAATATGTCATGAACAACTTCAATGATGGATTGACCTCGAGACTTGAACGACACACACTGAGGTTGGAGATCGGCACAGCAGATCGAGAGATTTGGCTTTGGCCGGTGGCAATCCGTGCCCCTATGGCACATTCAAGAGTTCAAGGCGGTGTGCACATCGAAGACAAGAAGACTTCCTATCAGATGAACCCTGGAGTCGGATACACTCTTGGAGGAGGAGTTCACTGCACCACTTTTGACAACATCGCTCAAATCTTCAGAGAAGGACTACGTCCCGGAGGAGGAGGCGACCGCATCAATACGTTCTTCGTGCCATTCGCACCATGGGACGTGCGAAGTCAGACGGTGCTGAGATTCAGAAAGATTGATCAAACCGATCTTGTCTACATCTACATCACGTACGATTCCATCGCCAAGTTCTCCCCTCGATTATCAGCAGACGGACACATTTTGGTCCAGGAAACAATTCCATTCGAATCATTCGATGCAGCTTGGTATTACGATTGGAAGGAAAAGGACTACTACCGCCTCATGATCACGAAGGGAAGAGATCAACTTGTACTTTCTGTGCAAGGAGCAAGGAGGGTGGCCACCATTGAACGATTTGACAAACTCATTGGGAACATTGTGCCTGATGAATCATCACCCGATCTGAACGAACTTCGAAAACTTGTCGATATCAAGACCGGTCACTTCAGTCATAATCACAGATTGTTCCCTGGACATCCGGATTGGAATGATGCAATATCATTGTTGGCAGTCACTCATCATCCCAGCAAGGAGGACCATCGACTATGCCCCGCATGTCTGATGGAGACCCCTGCGCCACTATCGATTTGTGTGATGTGCAAAGGATTTTTGGTGAGTCATGGATGGAGGAAGCGAATCAAGATCACCGTGGCTACAGTACCAAGTGCCGAATCGCATCATCGAGAAGAAGATCTCAAAGACCATGTTAAGAAAGCATGGGAGGAGGTGAAGATCGATTTGACAGGTGAAGGAGATGATGACGAGCTGATGCAAGATGATGATGACGTCACCATGAAGAGTCCACAACAAGAAACTCAACCAGAAGAAGAAGATGATGACCAAGCCTCGAAGAAGGGCGACATCAATGATGAGAGAAGAGACTTCAGAGAACAAGATGAGGTCGACAAGTTTCTCAATCAGGAAGGAAAACCGACCGATGAGAATGACGATGAAGAGATAGCGGTCGATGAAATCAACATTGAAGAGTATGAGGCTGGAGAAGCTCGTGATGCAGTGATTGAGTACCCCAAGTGGATGAAGCGGATTGAGTTTGGATCAAAGGTCCTACCAATCGAGCCTTGCACAATTGGAGATGCTCAGCCGGAGCTCATCAAGATCCTCCTGTTGCAGATTGGATTACATATCGTCAAGATCTACAGACTATTCCAACGGAACTTCTGTGGAGACATCGAGACGGCATGGAAACACTTTCAACAGAACCAGAAATTCAGGATGGACCTGGACTCAAGAGTGCCTTACCTAGGCGAGGATGAAAATGGTGAACTCATTGAACCAACTGCACAACAGATGAAAGAGCTCTACAAAGAGATCGGCCGACCAAAACAAAAGGACGACATCGGAGAAGAGGGATTCGTCAATGCATACTATGGGGCAGTGGTACTCAAGCGACTTCTCATATATACCCTTGAATGCGGCTACACGTATGATGACTTGCAAAACATCTTCTATGACGAAGAGATGGAGAAGCTGTCGAAACGTGACACAACAATGGATGAGATGAGAAAGACCACAGCGGCCCGCGAAGCCCTTGACCGACAAGACGTCATGGTCAGAAGAATCATTGCAGGTGCATACAGGGTGAATGCAGTTTATTTCTTCAGGAACGTTGACTTTCAAGACACAATCACACTGAACCCAGTTGACATTGTGTGTGCTCTTCGTCCCGCACTTCGAAGAATATCACTTTTACACCTGATCCTTCAAAATGGCCGACAATTGCCACGACCTCTACTCCAAAAGCTGTATGATGCAATCGATGACTACAACCACATCAAGCAGCGGGACGATCAACGACCAAGGTGGGGCATCCACATGTCAGACGCTCACATACTTGCGATTGCTGATACCCCAGTTCCTGCTGATCGTGAACGTGCTAACCCGGTCGCTGGCAAATCGAAAGCAGCCCCGAAGGCAGCACCAGCACTGGGCAGAGTGTCGAAAGCGAAAGCGTCATCGTCAGCAACATGGAGAACCGTCGAAGCCGCTCCTCCGCCAAAACAAGCTCCAGTAACCCCGCCACAGAAGGGTGGAAAAGACCAAGGAAAAGGTGGAAGATCTTATTCACACCGTGGTGGAGACTGGAACCAACAGGGATACTATGGATGGGGATATAGATGATAAATCGATATGACCTCTGCATAGGTCCTGATTGAACCTGGCGAAGCGGAATGCAATCATTGCTCGAGAATTACCTCTACTTCATTTCGAATGATTTCTGAGAGGAATCTGAGCCGGCTAATTTAGAACCACATTTTTTTGAGCATCATTGCACGAGACGCTGAGTTTCTACAGCGGTCTACATCTCAACCGACGAAGGAACGGGAAGGTAAACTTCTAGTTTCATAGTCAACTTTGCGTTTTGATTTTTTTAATTCACATGCTTGAGTGGGATTCCATGCTGGCTACGCCACATCGGATGAACCTCAATGCTAGACACCGACTACGTCGTGTCTACATGCACGTGAACAGAACCTTTATCTTTTGGTAGAGATCGTAGCAAGCCGCCATGTAGATTTGAAGTTCTGAACGGACTTTAGCTCTCCATAATTCAATAAATGAACAGCTGCAGATGTAGTGGATCAATTCAAGGGACACTCCTTTGCGCGTGGCCGACAAAGTCGGCCATGCGTGGGGGGTGCGAATAGAGTGTAGGCTACGGACCATTGTACACTATCACATAATTCAACACTCAAAGATCCACAGCCAAAGGGTACGTCAAATCGCCCCTTTGGCTCAAGGACCACTGCAGGAACCGGAATAAAGAATGCCATGCTGAAGCCGCTACCCGTGTGACGTCACCACTGAAACACCCACTTCAAGATCAAGCAAAAGAACATAATCGGGGAGACAACCTCCGATTCACATATATATATGATATATATATATATATATCATATAAATCATATCATATATATATATCATATATATATATATATCATATATATATATAAATCTCATATATATATATATATGAGATTTGATATATATGATATATATGTGATATATATCATACACATATCATATATAGATATCATATATACATATCATATATATCATATCTCATATATATAAATCACATACATATATATATATATATCATATATATATATCATATATATATCATATATATATATCATATATATATATCTTATATATATCATATAAATATATATCATATATTTCATATATATCATATATATCATATATATCATATATATCATATATATATCATATATATCATATATATCATATATGTCATACATATATCATATATATATATATCATATATATATCATATATATGTATATATCATATATATCTTATATATATCATATGTATCATATATATCATATATGTCATACATATATCATATATATGTATATATCATATATGTCTTATATATATCATATGTATCATATATATCATATATGTCATACATATATCATATATATATCTAAAGCATATGATTCTGAAATATCAATATGGTCATTGTATGAGTGATCATATATGTGTCGAGCAACCCCATATATCAGCATATATGATATCATATAGATTCTTCGAGTTGTGTTTTTTATATATATCATATATATATATATATATCATATATATCTTATATATATCATATATATCATATATATCATATATATCATATATGTCATACATATATCATATGTATCATATATATCATATATCAGTTATCATTCCGTGTCGGAAAAGGAGCGCCCCAAGGCGCAGTGGTTACGCCACAACGCCTTGGCGGACACCAGATCCACTGGATGCAGCGACACCGGATCCACCGGGTTTCCAAGCGCCGGGCCATCCTGGGTGCCGGAACTGGAGATCAGTGAAGGTGGGGAAATCCCACTGGATTTTGCTGTGATTAATGGGTATTAATGGTGATGAATGGGTATTAATGGGGATTTAATGATGTTGCGCTAAAAAATGGCAAGTAATGGATTTTGCTATAGAAAATATGGAGAAAATATGGCTGATCTTGCTGTGTCATATTGGCAAATGATGTTGATCATGAAATTTTCAGGTTCCATAAAAGTTCAGGCCAAGCCTAAGAGCACAGGTCATTCGCATTGTAAGTGTGGTGACTAATTATATCTACGATCATCTACGTAATCACGTGTCTCATGAAATCCAATTTCTAATCCCAAGATTGGCCCAAGATGTTGAGTAGATGTGTCAATGGGAATCAGCGTTTTGCGTGCACAGCCGTATGATCAGCCGCATGGAGTTTTCACGGGACATTTTTATGACATATGCAGCACAGTACTACCAACCTCAAAGTGTTCTGAAACATGTCGAAAGCGAATCTCCAGGCAAAGTGCATCTTACCATCTTCACTTCTGGCACTGGTGATAGACATCGGTGTGCCAGCTATGCAGCTTGTCAGAGTATGAAAAAACTCACATCAAGGTTGGACATGTTGCTATCCAAATGTCTTTCGACATTTCTGCATCTGACTTCTAAAGCATGATTTCAATAGTGTTCATTCTAGTATATGTATGTACATAAATATTTATATAATGTCATTTCTATCAGCCAGTTATCCATGGTTATCCAGCGGTTGCGAAGTCAGAAGTCATGTCACACGTTGTTGACACCGAGGTGGGCCCACGTTTGCTGCGACTCCTTTTTGCAGATGGCGCGAGGTTGTCCTTCACGATCCCCTCCTGCTTGCCCAGCTTGCCATCCTCCTTGCCCTTGGTTGGACACTTCCGGCTGATCCTGGCAAGTGGAGAGGCTTGAAAAAAGTGTGGAGGGATTTCCCAATGGAGTAGTTTGATGTAGTTTGATCATGGAGTTGCAGTACTGTACTAACACTGTGGGTGATAAAAAGTTACTAAGTTGTAATATGTTATAATGCCTCTCGAGTATTGATGCACCTCAGTTAAAATTCATGTTTTCGCATCAACAACTCGCTTAGATATGTTAGATATTTGTTAAATTATTGATGATATTTTCACATCAACATCTCACAGATCCACTTTAATATGTTACTGCTTGGTGGTTTCAACCATTTTTTATTTTACATTTCATGTATGGGATGTCATCGTTCCCATTGACGAACTCATATTTTTCAAGATGGTTAAAACATGTTAAAACCACCAACCAGCTTAGAATATAGGTATTATAGGTATTATAGGTATTATAACCACTATTATGATATAATCCCATTATTCATGATTATCACATTATAATCCCATTATATATATAAAACTTGTCTGATCTTAGCTCTGTGGCCACCCCTTGACCTTCGCGACCAGGTCTTGCATCGCAGCTTCACCGAGCCCTGGGGCGCGGAGTTTCATGTGGCCACCCTTCGTGCCCTGCTGCGAAGCCGCCAGGAAGCCACAGATGCCATGGAGCCCATGGAGCCTTGAATCGTTTTCATCGAATCGATGGATGATGGTCGTTAAATGTCGTTAATACATGTCTATACCATCCATAAAAATGGTGATTTTGGAGATGGTTGATGTAAAAAAGCATGGGGTTTACCACATTCGATGCCATTCTTCGATATTTCTCTCCGATTTTAGAACTTGTACCAACCGAAAGTTTGACCTTGGTTTGGTACCCCAAAAGAGGGGATCAGAACTTGATCAATAGGATTTCAGCAAATTATGATCATGAGCACCTGGTCGATGTAGTGATTTTCGTCATCCCTGCCAGGTTGAAGTGTGGCTCTTTTAAGAAGGGGATGTCCCCAAAAGTTTTGTGTCGACCTCTTACATTAGGCCCAAATGATCCAAAATATCGTCATCTTTCGACATCTTTCGACCCAAGCCATCTGCCCAGTGGCATCCCAGGAAGCAGTTGCGCAGAGCGCCTTGCGCCGTAGTCATTTAGCCTACAAGTCCATCGGAAGGCTGGTGGCTACCAGTGGCTAGCGGCGTAGCCTGCTGCCTGCAGCGTGATGGCAAAGATCGAGCTGAAGATAGCTGAAGTCTGAGATGACATGAGACATGACAATCATGAGATGCTCACTAGATCTCAATAGTTTTTTGGAGGGGCTCTGATGTTGAGAGGAATCATCTTTGATCCGAAAAAAATGGTGTACCTTTTGGGAAAGCTGCAGGCGAAAGCTAGACACCCATTTTTCGGTCCGTATTCATAATGAATTCTACTGTATTCCGTGCAATTTCGATAATTTCAGGCTAAGAAGGTATAAAGTGATATAAGGTGAACATAGGTGAACTATCTGTTATGGAGTACTGCAGTTTACAACGATCCCCTTTTTTGGAGAATCCAGTGTGGTGTTTGCACTCAGAGCCTCGGGGGTTGCATGGCTGTGATTGGCCAACCTGGGGAATAAAGGGAGCGAGGCATTTGGGGATGGAGACAGGCATGGGTTTGCCAACCGGAAATCGGATTCTGATGGACCATGATATGATTTTTATATATTTTTCTCCACGTCTAAAAGAGTTTTATACGTTTAATAGCCTTCAATGCTGCGCCTGTGGATGTTTTCTGTGAACACTCCAAAGGGGAAGCACATGGAGTGGAAGTTTCATGTCAGACCATCCAGTTGGGGAATATCAGGCTTTTACCCCCATGTTTTTTTTTACTTTTGGTGGGCCTCCATTTCGATCAGTCTGCTAAGTGTGATGCAAAAAATTACTCACTTGCTACATGCGGATAAACTGGCATCATTGACATCACTGTTCTTTTGCTACAACATTCTCCGCCCTAACCAGCTCCTGAAAAAGATCCATGTGGTTGTCATCTGGTTGAAGGGGCTTTCAGTCGTTTTTGTGGCACTGAGGCAAGGTGGTCTGGAAAACAAGTCCCTGGTGCTTCAAACGCCTGGGGGCTGAGTTTGCTGGAAGAGTTTCTAAAGGAGAAGCTGTTCAAGATATGGGTATGGGTCAATACCTATAGATACATTTTTAGTGGGATGAACATCCATTTACCAGCTATTTTGATGTTCACCAGGGGTACAAGGTTTTGACACACTGCCATACAGATGAGGCAATTGTAGGGCCCTCGAATGATTTTGAATGCCTTCAAGGCTTCTGTTTTCCTTTTTTTTGACCAATCAAACGGGACTTGTCATGCCACACTTCGCTGTGGCAAAAGCCATGCGAAACCTGGGATCGGGCGTTGCCAATTAACACATGCTCTAGTAGATTGGGGGTTATGATAGACTATGGTAGTCTCACTGATCAATCAGCAATCTTTGGACAGAAAAACTTTAAGTGCAAGGTATTTGAATTTGATTTTGATTGCTTTGCAAACACTGATTTCTTCGGTACACATTATGTGTGTACAATAAGTAATTAATTTAATATATATGAATCAAAGAGCTCATCATCATGTCACACAGTATCACAGCATTCATCTTTGCATACATCCTGGTTTTCCAGTTCCAGTCAATCCACCCATCAAATTTAGTTCAGTTTGCAGATTGCAGAAGCGTCTTGCAGACAATCCCTGAGCCCAACTGGAGCACTTACTACTTCACGCCATGCCACACAGGAAAGGATAGCCCAGGGAACTGCAAACCGCTCCCAACCGTCCCAACCCCACTTAGAGACCCACTGGGAAGCCAGTCATAGCCAGTCACCAACGAGGCCGCATCGAACCTTTTCTTTCATCATGCATTTGTCTCAGATGTGGGAGATGACGTGAGATGCGACATGGGGAGTGAAAGGACACTTTTTGTGGATCAAAAAATGGAGGATAAACCGGCTGTTATATTATACTCATACTCATATTGATGGAACGCTCCCGGACAGATGTGATTGGTGAATTGTTTCAATCCATTTTGTCTAAGCACGTGAGGCCAAAGCTTGAATGATACATTGAATGACCATACAAATACGCATTTCTCGGGAGTGAACAAATCAATTCTGCGTGTATCAAGATATGAATTTCATCGAATTTCCCAGTCTTCTCATAAATGTCCATGACATTCCATGACACCAGAGTTTCTACACTCCGGTTGATGAAGTATGTTGCCGGTAATCTATTCGGTTCTGGGGTTCCGGGGATTTCCGGGGTTCCGGGCTGAAATTTGCTGAGGTCTGATAAGGTGCAGCGTGACACCTTTGGATTTTGTATCCTTTACCTCCTGAAGATCAAAAACAGAGGCAGAGCAGCAACTTGAGCCATGAAAAATACCAATGTTGATTGATTCTGGCAGGGTTGAAAAAAACAACTGCTTTATTGGGGAGAAGTATGAGTCATTTGTTGTGGGAAAGCTATGAATATATATATATATATGTACATATGTATATGTAATATTATATGATATTTGTATGTGTATCAATCAAGCAGTACAATGATATGGGATAGGGGCATTTTTCACGGCTCACTTGATGATCTGGGGCGTCCCACTTCCCTGTTCTCTATATATATATATTATTATCTTATATGTAAATATATACTGTAGTGTTTGATCAGCAATTTCGCCGACATGGAAAAGAGAGAGGATGAAGCTAATTGTTTCTAGTCACGCAGCCTTTTGCCCGAACCTTCCAGCCTACGCCCATTGTGTGTTTGCAGTGTCTACAGTCTACATGTGATCTACATGTGATCGCTGTAGCTGGGAGAATATCAACGCCAGGGGTCATGGCCGCTAGCAGCTCCCCAGCCGTGAAGGCGAGTCAAGGCCTGGTTGCTACCACTGGGATGATCCAACTGGTAGCTGTTGATGCCATTCCATGATATTCCATGTAAACATGATCCTAACAGTTTTTGAGATTGTGTGGCCGGACCCGGACCAGCACCCTTTTTCTGTGTGCACAATCCGAAGATCCTTGAAAATCATTGAAAATTCCTGTAGGTCCGAAGAGTGGCGTTGGGAAAGTTGCATATCCCAACCGATCTTGTTACGAGGGCCAGCAGGAGCACTCAGTTTTAGCAACAGCCACTTTTCGGCGGCTGAAGTTGAGCTGACTCACGGACAGCATGTGGAGGCTTTCTACAATGGAGGTACGCCTAAATCATCCATTTTTTAGTAGGATTTTACATGATAAACCATCGATTTTGGGGTATCCCCATTGTGGAACTCCCATGTCCACATCCCATGGCACCAAGGGTTTTCAGGTCTGCCATGGCTAGCGGCTATGGCAGTTGTATAGATGGCACCAGGCAATTTGGGTACTCTTTCACCGAGATGAAACTGAGATCAGGATGAGATGAATTCCATCTGGTTCCTTGATTTACCTTGATGTATCAATCATCCTTGATGTTCATTGGGCCAAACACATGAATTTTGGGAAGGATGCCATACTATGCTATTTGAGTCTGGTTCTCTCTTATCCGGGTCCTCACCAAGAGGCCTGATACCATGTCGCAGCCTGAGGTTTAGCAACTACATGCGACATGGGCAAGGAGCACGGTGACCCAGTGGTTCTAAGTCGCGTCGCAGCGGCTGTGCATTCAATTCCTGGATTTTGGAAAGATCGCTTGGTTTGGAGATGGTTCAGGGATGTTTGGAACACGATCACTTCACCATCTTCACCTGAGCCCGACAGCCCCATTTGATTCGATATGTCAATTCGCGTGGTAAAAGTTATGCTGTATTAGAGATGTTAGAGGCAAAGCTATAAACCAGTAGCCTTTGGTAATCCAATATGGCACTCAAACATGCATTGAAACATCTGGATGCTTGGTAGATGACAACAAGATGATGCGCCAACATGCTCGTTGGGCTAATGGGGTACCTTATCCACAGATCCGTCCCGCGGGCCTCGCGAGTGGGTAGGGGAGGCCAACCAAAGTGCACTGGAGATAGCAGAGGGATAGCTTTCCGAGTGGCCCATGGCACATACTGTAGATTTGAAGGGGCGAGATAGAGCAGGTAGCAATAACATGACCAAAATTGACAACATATGACACATGTCTAAAAGAGTTCCCAGGTTAGGAATGACGCGTCTTTTGAGAGAGCCCAAAGGTCACGATTTTTTCCAAAAGTTGCGCTGTTTTTTCCAGAATTATTTTCTTCTACAAATGGGATGGCACGGCAGAAGATCCAGCAGCAGAGAAGAGAGTAATCACTTGAGTTTCCAGCAGTCCCTGAGACGTGTTGCGATTGCATGTTGAAGTTGCATGTTAGAGCGTCACAAATCAGTCTGATGTCCGCACCTGTGTTTGTCACGTGTTGGTCCGCCTTAGACCCTTAAGGTGTTGACCCTGTCGGACGGAACCAGATACGTCGCTCAGTGGAAGAACGACGAGCGTCACGGCGAGGTCAGCCTATGGTGGTGGTCCCCCATTTTGGTTGAAACCCCGAGTCCGTCCAAAAACCACCTATGAAAAGGCGCCGATCTGGGGATTCTTCTGATGTCACAGCCAACTTCTAAGTTTGCAAGGAACTTTGCTGTATACCCTCTGGCAAACCAGCATAACTATTGAAAATCACAACTATAGGCAAATCAACGACAACTGGGCCATTTTCCATAGCTATGTTAAATTACCAGAGGGTATTGTTTACCATTTCAGTAGCTTCTGTCCATATCGGGCCTTTTTTTCAACCGCCACTGTTCCGAAACGTCTGGTTCGTGTTGCTGAAATTGTCATGTGATGGAGTCTTAGGGCTGAATTGACGTGTTCCAACATTATGCAATCACAGTTGCCCAAAGACTTGAATCATTACAGTGATATCATCTTTAATATCAGTGAATATATATAAATTATGAATCATCTTGAATCACTACAGTCAACTGATGTCAACTGTATATCAGACCATATCCAAGTAGACAGAGACACACATAAGGAGACATTCTGTATCGCATCCATCACTCATCACACGTCCGTATTGAACAGCCACCTGATGAACCACCGCCGCCGTCAGGGCAAAGAGTTTTGCCCAGATGGAACCACATTTGAAGGTGCTGAGCTGTATTGATCCTGGTTGGTGATGTTTTTTGCATGTTTAATCACCACATCACTATAGTATGACATGTATATATATAATTATATGTATATATATAATATTATATATATTTATATCATACGGTTAATTCATAATATGACACTACACTATATTATATTATATGTTACTATATTATATTATATTGTATGATATTATACTACATTAAATTATAGTGTGATATTGTATAGTGTGTAATTTCTGTATGTTTCTGCAGGGCTGACCTGGTCTGACTTGGTCGGGCATTACCGAGTCACAGATCTTCCGGTGCCAGGTCACTACGTGGCTGGCATGCGTCACGGCTATGGCGTCATGAAGTGGCTCCTTGTCACCAGATTTCTCAGGTCCCCTTCTTTTTCCAGTGCCGGATCCGTTTTTTTTGGATCTCTGGGAGTCTAAAGTCTAAACCACTGAGATCCCATTGGCTGTTCGTCGCACCTAGGCCCGAAGGGTCCAAGTACTCTGGGATGTTTGAACGTGGACGTGGCTTGGCTATGCATGCTACTGTAGTGGCTTCAGGGATTTCTATCGACTTTTTTTTTTTCCGGGGCTTTCACGGTTCGAAATGAGTGCTGGACACTGCCTATTGGCACATTTGCTGTGTCTTTGTTCTGACAGCTGATCAATGTTGTGTGGTGCACTCTGATAATTCTCTTACACATCATTTCAAAGAGAGTAATTATCACAAGAGTGCATGAGGATGTGTAAATATTAATTGAGATGTAACATCCTTGTGTTTTCTCTGAGAGCTGGAATTTGATGAGAGGTACCCTCTGGTAAACTAACATAACTATGGAAAATCACCATTTTTAATGGGAAAATCCATTATTTCTATGGTCATTTTCAATAGCTATTTTGACATAACCAGAGGTAACATCCTTTCCTTTTTAAAGGCATATATTCCCTGGAGCAAAGGGCTTGACCATCTCTTCCCAGGAGCCAACGGGCAAGGGGAACTCTTGCGAACCGATGGCTCAGTCCGCAACCTGAGAGCTGAGACTGGATGTCTGGTCTGTTATGAAAGTTGCATATAGAATCATATACAGATATACACTACATATATATATATACATATACATGTATATATATATATATATGTAAAGTCATCCGAAAAAGATAGAACAGTGTATTATCACCATTTTAGCAGGCTTTTACTCTTCGTTTTCATTGGAACAACTATATATATGTAAATATTGTACTATAACTATAGGTTTAATTGCATTTGTTTGCAGGTTTGTTCCAAACCACGTGTCTCCTCACTGCAATGCTGCATGCAGGGCAGGTGGACGTCCTTCTTTGTTCTCCCTGGGTTGCCGGCCGGACATGCGTGGGTGATATTTCAAAATTGTATAGCTTAGAAATGCATCACATACGTGTGTATACACATATTTATAATATGTATATGTCTATAAATATATAAACAGTGAAATACACAGCACATACAGATATGTGTACATATGTGCACGTATTTGTATATGTATATGTGTGTATGTGTTATACACGTATATGTGTATACGTGTATATATGTATATATGCATATATGCATATATGCATATATGTATCTATGTATCTATGTATCTATGTATATGTGTAAATGTATTTGTACATATACATAAACGGTTGGTATTGTATATGTGCATACATGAGTATCATTGTATGTCACTGTATCCGCTGGGATATTGCATGAAGTCATAGTCCGGCATGGTTCGCAGGTCTACCGCGGACAGTTCTGTGAGGATTGCATGTCGGGCGAAGGGCGAATGCAGTGGCGCGATGGTCGGGGAAACCTGGGCTGCGGGCTGCTGGGGTACTTGGGAGCAGGCCAAAGGTTACTGTTCTAACCTTGGTATACCATGGGAATTTAAGCCTCTGTAAGTTGGGATATATATACATATATACATATATACATATATTTATGCATGTATGTATGTATGTAATGTATGTAATGTAATGTAATGTAGTGTAGTGTAGTGTAGTGTAGTGTAATGTATGCATGCATGCATGTATGCATGTATGTATGTACATGCATGCATGTATGTATGGATGCATGCATGCATGCATGTATGTATGCATGCATGCATGCATGTATGTATGTATGCATGTATGTATGCATGTATGTATGTACATGCATGCATGTATGTATGTATGTATGCATGCATGCATGTATGCATGCATGCATGTATGTATGTATGCATGTATGTATGTACATGCATGCATGTATGTATGTATGTATGCATGCATGCATGCATGTATGCATGCATGCATGTATGTATGCATGCATGTATGTATGCATGTATGTATGTGCATGCATGCATGTATGTATGTATGCATGCATGCATGTATGTATGTATGCATGCATGTATGTATGTATGCATGCATGTATGTATGCATGCATGTATGTATGTATGCATGTATGTATGTACATGCATGCATGCATGTATGTATGTATGTATGCATGTATGTATGTACATGCATGCATGCATGTATGTATGTATGCATGCATGTATGTATGTATGCATGTATGTATGCATGTATGTATGTACATGCATGCATGTATGTATGCATGCATGTATGTATGTATGCATGCATGCATGTATGTA